AAATTCAGCTGACTTTGAGGGTTTTTTTGGACGCTGGATTTCGCAATGTTGCCTTCAACTAACTGGGTCTCATTCACTGAGCTTGAAATTATAATGGGCAGAAAAATTCATTGTTGACAGTGACTTTACCAAACAACTCAAACCAAAATGGTTATTTTCATAAACTGGAAACGGTGGAAAATCGCTAAGGAATTTGAGACTCAGGCCAAACTAGCCAAATTAGGTAGATGTCCAGCAGCTCGACACGTTTGGACTAAAATATTCACTGTCCTTTTAATGCAGAAATCTACGGCCAGAAACCTGGAATATTGTTTAAACAGATGTCGCAATAACCAGGCTGTTTGAGAGTTTAAATTACTTTTTCAGCGTACACTTTGTAGACCAAAGATAGCCTTTATCTAATTAGAAAAATGTGGCCTAACCAGTGAAACCGACCCATCTGGTCCGTCAACTCTTCTAAAAACTACCCAGGGTCACAGATAAAGCCACGCCAAACATCCCTCAATTTAGACAGAAGCAGGGCAGTCTGGCAGCTGAGGGGTTAATTCCATAATATGTGTGTAAGCCTGAGATACATTAACACGGTCACTGGAGGATTACTAAGTGGGATATGCCAGTCAGCAGACAGTTAAATTATTAGCGTCCAAGTATTCTGCTCTGTTAAATATTTATAACGAAAATGCTGAGTCTTATCGGGTATCGAATTCTCTGTTAATGTGATGGCTCTCAGCATATGTTTTGGAATAACTATAATGATCATTTAAAGTAGCCAACATTTTCCGCAGCGCTGTACAATGGTTATATAAAACAAAACAAATACATTATGAAAAACGCAATATGGTGTACTGAGTAAGAGGTGAGAAGAGGGTCCTGTTCATAGGAGCTTACAATCTATAGTAAAGGTGTATTGCGGGAGTGAAACTCCCCTGATACAACTGCTAGCGATCTTCTGGCATTGGATGATGGGAATTGTAGTTGTGTGGGGGGGGGGCTTGCATATTGCAGGTAAGTGGCCATTCTGCTCAAGGCACAGGTCACTGATACTTGCAGCATGATCCTTGCTTTCCTTCCCATGTGCCTATCACATGTTGGATTCCTCTGGCAGTTTCCCAGCATCCTACAATCACAGGGTAAGATATCCAGAGCATGCGGGAGGGGGCGACCAGGCCCAGACAGTAACTATTACAGTGCCAGAATCTGGGTTGCAGTTATTCTGTAATAAAGGACTAGCATCCTGAAACCAGCACCTCCACTATGAGAAAACCTATAGAACATGGCAGGCGAGGGATTCACAGCAGCTCATAGGTGTTACTAGTACAGGCAATAGGGGCAATTGTTCCCCTCCAGCTAGTAACCAGGAGCAAAAGTCGCAGCCTTCCTTATGTAAACAGAAATAAACTGCTAAACACTACATAACACACCAAGCTGTAAATTAAAGTAAAAATGAACACAATAGCTGGATTAACCAACAGCTCCCGTGCTGGCCTGCAAAGGGCTGCTGGACCAAAGGTTCGAGGAACCGTTCTATAGTGAACAGGCTGGGGGCAGAGCGAGGAACCGTTCTATAATAAACAGGCTGGGCGCAGGGTGAGGTACCGTTCTATAATAAAGAGGTTGGGCGCAAAGCGAGGAACCGTTCTATAATAAACAGGCTGGGCGCAGGGTGAGGTACCGTTTTATAATAAACAGGCTGGGCGCAGAGCGAGGAATTGTTCTATAATAAACAGGCTGGGCACAGGCCGAGGAACCGTTCTATAATAAACAGGCTGGGCGCAGAGCGAGGAACCATTCTATAATAAACTGATGGGCACAGGGCGAGGAACAGGTCTATAATAACTAGACTGGGCGCAGTACCATTATATAATAAACAGTCAGGGCACAGAGCGAGGATCATTCTATAATAAACAGGCTGGGAGCAGAGCGAGGAACCGTTCTATAATAAACAGGTTTGGGCAGAGCGAGGAACCCTTCTATAATAAACAGATTGGGGGCAGAGCGAGGAACCGTTCTATAATAAACAGGCTGGGCGCAGGGCGAGGAACCCTTCTATAATAAACAGGCTGGGCGCAGTGCAAGGAACCGTTCTATAATAAACAGGCTGGGCGCACTGCGAGGAACCGTTCTATAATAAACAGACTGGGCGCAGAGCGAGGAACCGTTCTATAATAAACAGGCTGGGCACAGAGCGAGGAACCGTTCTATAATAAACAGGCTAGGCGCAGGCCGAGGAACTGTTCAATAATAAACAGGCTGGGCACAGGCCGAGGAACCGTTCTTTAATAAACAGGCTGGGCACAGGCCGAGGAACCGTTCCATAATAAATAGACTGGGCGCAGAGCAAGGAACCGTTCTATAATAAACAGGCTGGGCGCAGAGCGAGGAACCGTTCTATAATAAACAGACTGGGCGCAGGCTGAGGAACCGTTCTTTAATAAACAGGCTGGGCACAGGCAGAGGAACCGTTCTTTAATAAACAGGCTGGGCACAGGCTGAGGAACCGTTCTATAATAAATAGACTGGGCGCAGTGCGAGGAACCGTTCTATAATAAACAGGTTGGGAGCAGGGCGAGGAACAGGTCTATAATAAATACCATTATATAACAACATTTTAGGCCAGCAAGATGTAGGGATTTATTCACTAAAGGGCAAACAGAAAACTAGATGACAAAATGTAGCTAAATAGCCGAGGTAAGACCATAAATATTAGATTGTTTTCCCAACTCGATATTTTGGAATTGGGAATTTTAATTCCGAAAAAGACAGCATCACATGCACCACATACTGTCTGTATGTATGGGAACTAATCCAGGGTTATACGAATAAAGACCACTGTGCCACATATGGCAATAAATGTAAAATTTGCATTGAAGAATAGAGTGCAATCCTATTGCACAACGCTACAGAATCTGTTGGCGCTTCACAAATAATAATAATAAATAATAATGTGTTTCAGGGATTCTACTGCCTGTGAGGGTTTCCAAAACCTAAATAAAATATTAAAATGAAAAGTGCCGCAGAAAGCAAAACACACAAGTTGTGATATTCATCGTGCCAACAGAATATATTAATAAAATACATCATTTTGTCTACACCTGAGAAATAATGGAGGAAACGCTTTTAAAGTTTGGATCTGACGCATATCAGTTGTCCCCACAAAAACATTCGCTCATCAATAATAGGAGCCTGGTGGAATCCATACTGCCCTACCCATCAACCTCTATGGTACACAGGACGTACAATCCATATATGACGTGATTTATTGGGGTGCAGGCAGAAAATCATGCAGAATCTATAGGGATATTATTGGGGTTCAGGCAGAGAAGTACAGTCTGTAGAAATATTATTGTGGTTCAGGCAGAGAAGTACAAACAGAGAAATTACTGGGGTTCAGACAGAGACATACAAACAGTCTGTATGGATATTATTGGGGTTCTTGCAGTGAAGCTTGCAGGATCCATAAGGATATTAATTGTGGTACAGTCAGGGTAGTATGTCTATCCCAGCCACCATACACAGCAATGTGTGCCCCTGTCTGATACAGAGCAATGTGTGCCCCTGTCTCATACAGAGCAATGTGTGCCCCTGTCTCATACACAGCAATGTGTGCCCCTGTCTCATACACAGCAATGTGTGCCCCTGTCTCATACACAGCAATGTGTGCCCCTGTCTGATACACAGCAATGTGTGCCCCTGTCTCATACACAGCAATGTGTGCCCCTGTCTCATACACAGCAATGTGTGCCCCTGTCTCATACACAGCAATGTGTGCCCCTGTCTCATACACAGCAATGTGTGCCCCTGTCTCATACACAGCAATGTGTGCCCCTGTCTCATACACAGCAATGTGTGCCCCTGTCTCATACACAGCAATGTGTGCCCCTGTCTCATACACAGCAATGTGTGCCCCTGTCTGATACACAGCAATGTGTGCCCCTGTCTGATACACAGCAATGTGTGCCCCTGTCTCATACACAGCAATGTGTTCCCCTGCTGATACACAGCAATGTGTGCCCCTGTCTCATACACAGCAATGTGTGCCCCTGTCTCATACACAGCAATGTGTGCCCCTGTCTCATACACAGCAATGTGTGCCCCTGTCTCATACACAGCAATGTGTGCCCCTGTCTGATACACAGCAATGTGTGCCCCTGTCTGATACACAGCAATGTGTGCCCCTGGCTGATACACAGCAATGTGTGCCCCTGCCTGATACACAGCAATGTGTGCCCCTGTCTGATACACAGCAATGTGTGCCCCTGTCTCATACACAGCAGTGTGTGTCCTGCACCTGATACAGCAATGTGTTGCCCCTGTCTCATACACAGCAATGTGTGCCCCTGTCTCATACACGGCAATGTATTGCTTGTCTCATGCAGCAATGTGTGCCCTGTCTCATACACAGCAATGTGTGCCCTGTCTCATACACAGCAATGTGTGCTTGTCTCATACACAGCAATGTGTGCCCCTGTCTCATACACAGCAATGTGTGCCCCTGTCTCATACACAGCAATGTGTGCCCCTGTCTCATACACAGCAATGTGTGCCCCTGTCTCATACACAGCAATGTGTGCCCCTGTCTCATACACAGCAATGTGTGCCCCTGTCTCATACACAGCAATGTGTGCCCCTGTCTCATACACAGCAATGTGTGCCCCTGTCTCATACACAGCAATGTGTGCCCCTGTCTCATACACACCAATGTGTGCCCCTGTCTCATACACAGCAATGTGTGCCCCTGTCTCATACACAGCAATGTGTGCCCCTGTCTCATACACAGCAATGTGTGCCCCTGTCTCATACACAGCAATGTGTGCCCCTGTCTGATACACAGCAATGTGTGCCCCTGTCTGATACACAGCAATGTGTGCCCCTGTCTGATACACAGCAATGTGTGCCCCTGTCTGATACACACAGCAATGTGCCCTGCACCTGATACACAGTAATGTGTGCTTTAAACAGTACACAGCAGCCATGCTGCCCTATTATCTCATATTACAGCAATGTATTGCCCCTGTCTCATACACAGCAACAGCAATGTGTGCCCCTGTCTGATACACAGCAATGTGTGCCCCTGTCTCATACACAGCAATGTGTGCCCCTGTCTCATACACAGCAATGTGTTCCCCTGGCTGATACACAGCAATGTGCCCCTGTCTCATACACAGCAATGTGTGCCCCTGTCTCATACACAGCAATGTGTGCCCCTGTCTCATACACAGCAATGTGTGCCCCTGTCTGATACAGAGCAATGTGTGCCCCTGTCTGATACACAGCAATGTGTGCCCCTGTCTGATACAGAGCAATGTGTGCCCCTGTCTCATACACAGCAATGTGTGCCCCTGTCTCATACACAGCAATGTGTGCCCCTGTCTCATACACAGCAATGTGTGCCCCTGTCTCATACACAGCAATGTGTGCCCCTGTCTCATACACAGCAATGTGTGCCCCTGTCTCATACACAGCAATGTGTGCCCCTGTCTCATACACAGCAATGTGTGCCCCTGTCTCATACACAGCAATGTGTGCCCCTGTCTCATACACACCAATGTGTGCCCCTGTCTCATACACAGCAATGTGTGCCCCTGTCTCATACACAGCAATGTGTGCCCCTGCCTGATACACAGCAATGTGTGCCCCTGTCTGATACACAGCAATGTGTGCCCCTGTCTCATACACAGCAATGTGTGCCCCTGTCTCATACACAGCAATGTGTGCCCCTGTCTCATACACAGCAATGTGTTCCCCTGTCTCATACACAGCAATGTGTTCCCCTGTCTCATACACAGCAATGTGTTCCCCTGTCTCATACACAGCAATGTGTTCCCCTGTCTCATACACAGCAATGTGTGCCCCTGTCTGATACAGAGCAATGTGTGCCCCTGTCTCATACACAGCAATGTGTGCCCCTGTCTCATACACAGCAATGTGTGCCCCTGTCTGATACACAGCAATGTGTGCCCCTGTCTGATACACAGCAATGTGTGCCTCTGTCTGATACACAGCAATGTGTGCCCCTGTCTCATACACAGCAATGTGTGCCCCTGTCTGATACACAGCAATGTGTGCCCCTGTCTGATACACAGCAATGTGTTCCCCTGTCTCATATACAGCAATGTGTGCCCCTGTCTCATACACACCAATGTGTGCCCCTGTCTCATACACACCAATGTGTGCCCCTGTCTCATACACAGCAATGTGTGCCCATGTCTCATACACAGCAATGTGTGCCCCTGCCTGATACACAGCAATGTGTGCCCCTGTCTGATACACAGCAATGTGTTCCCCTGTCTGATACACAGCAATGTGTGCCCCTGTCTGATACACAGCAATGTGTGCCCCTGTCTGATACACAGCAATGTGTGCCCCTGTCTCATACACAGCAATGTGTGCCCCTGTCTGATACACAGTTAGTGTTATACACAGTAAGGTCTCAGCAGGCTGTGGGTCCAGTTACTCTGAGTACCAGCCAGGGCCCCCCAGCTCCCCGGACCCCCCCAGGACCCGCACCCCGGGATCCTACCTGCCAGGGGCCCCGCACAGCCCGCTGCACCCAGTCCGGCCTGATCCAAACATGCACAATGACTGGGCGGGGGGCGGGACGGATCCGGGTAACCCCTTCACTGCCAGGCACACAGAGCTACACAGCCAGCTATCACTGCTCCCACTCTCAGCACTCCCAGCCAGCCAGGAGACCAACCACAGCCCAGGGGTTACACACACACATATATTACTGTAACCAAAACCACATTATATACTGGAAATAGTGTCCTGCAACACATTAAAATATGTCCTAATGTGAATAACAAAAAAAACAAAACACAGGATACATTCCAAAACATTATATCTGAAAGCATATTATAACAAAACACAAATCCTATATGGATATAATAATATAATATCCTATCTCTGTAACTATCCCATATAGATATAATATCCTATCTCTGTAACTATCCCATATAGATATAATATCCTATCTCTGTAATTATCCCATATAGATATAATATCCTATCTCTGTAACTATCCCATATGGATATAATATCCTATCTCTGTAACTATCCCATATAGATATAATATCCCATCACTGTAACTATCCCATATAGATATAATATCCCATCTCTGTAACTATCCCATATAGATATAATATCCCATCTCTGTAACTATCCCATATAGATATAATATCCCATCTCTGTAACTATCCCATATGGATATAATATCTCCATCACTGTAACTATCCCATATAGATATAATATCCCATCTCTGTAACTATCCCATATAGATATAATATCCTATCTCTGTAACTATCCCATATAGATATAATATCCCATCACTGTAACTATCCCATATAGATATAATATCCTATCTCTGTAACTATCCCATATAGATATAATATCCTATCTCTGTAACTATCCCATATAGATATAATATCCCATCAATGTAACTATCCCATATGGATATAATATCCCATCACTGTAACTATCCCATATAGATATAATATCCCATCACTGTAACTATCCCATATGGATATAATATCCCATCACTGTAACTATCCCATATAGATATAATATCCCATCACTGTAACTATCCCATATGGATATAATATCTCCCTCACTGTAACTATCCCATATAGATACAATATCTCATCACTGTAACTATCCCATATAGATATAATATCCCATATCTATAGATGTATCCCATCATATGGATATAATATCCCATCACTGTGGCTTTATCCTTCATGGATTCATGTCATCTCCCTCACTGTAACTATCCCATATAGATACAATATCTCATCACTGTAACTATCCCATATAGATATAATATCCCATCACTGTAACTATCCTCTATCAATGTAACTATCCCATATAGATATAATATCCCATCACTGTAACTATTCCATATGGATATAATATCTCTATCAATGTAATCCCATATAGATATAATATCCCATCTCTGTAATTATCCAATATAGATATAATATCCCATCACTGTAACTATCCCATATAGATATAATATCCCATCTCTGTAATTATCCCATATAGATATAATATCCCATCACTGTAACTATCCCATATAGATATAATATCCCATCTCTGTAATTATCCCATATAGATATAATATCCCATCCCTGTAACTATCCCATATAGATATAATATATCCATCACTGTAACTATCCCATATAGATATAATATCCCATCTCTGTAATTATCCCATATAGATATAATATCCCATCCCTGTAACTATCCCATATAGAAATAATATCTCCATCAATGTAACTATCCCATATGGATATAATATCCCATCAATGTAACTATCCCATATAGATATAATATCCCATCTCTGTAATTATCCCATATAGATATAATATCCCATCACTGTAACTATCCCATATGGATATAATATCTCTATCAATGTAACTATCCCATATAGATATAATATCTCCATCACTGTAACTATCCCATATAGATATAATATCCCATCTCTGTAATTATCCCATATAGATATAATATCCCTATCACTGTAACTATCCCATATGGATATAATATCTCTATCAATGTAACTATCCCATATAGATATAATATCCCATCTCTGTAATTATCCCATATAGATATAATATCCCATCACTGTAACTATCCCATATGGATATAATATCTCCATCACTGTAACTATCCCATATAGATATAATATCCCATCACTGTAACTATCCCATATAGATATAATATCCCATCTCTGTAACTATCCCATATAGATATAATATCTCTATCAATGTAACTATCCCATATGGATATAATATCTCCATCACTGTAACTATCCCATATAGATATAATATCCCATCACTGTAACTATCCCATATGGATATAATATCTCTATCAATGTAACTATCCCATATGGATATAATATCTCCATCACTGTAACTATCCCATATAGATATAATATCTCCATCACTGTAACTATCCCATATAGATATAATATCCCATCTCTGTAATTATCCCATATAGATATAATATTCCATCACTGTAACTATCCCATATGGATATAATATCTCTATCAATGTAACTATCCCATATAGATATAATATCCCATCACTGTAACTATTCCATATGGATATAATATCTCTATCAATGTAACTATCCCATATAGATATAATATCCCATCTCTGTAATTATCCCATATAGATATAATATCCCATCACTGTAACTATCCCATATGGATATAATATCTCCATCACTGTAACTATCCCATATAGATATAATATCTCCATCACTGTAACTATCCCATATAGATATAATATCTCCATCTCTGTAATTATCCCATATAGATATAATATCCCATCACTGTAACTATCCCATATGGATATAATATCTCTATCAATGTAACTATCCCATATAGATATAATATCTCCATCACTGTAACTATCCCATATAGATATAATATCCCATCTCTGTAATTATCCCATATAGATATAATATCCCATCACTGTAACTATCCCGATATATGGATATAATATCTCTATCAATGTAACTATCCCGTATAGATATAATATCCCATCACTGTAACTATCCCATATAGATATAATATCCCATCACTGTAACTATCCCATATGGATATAATATCTCTATCAATGTAACTATCCCATATAGATATAATATCCCATCTCTGTAACTATCCCATATAGATATAATATCTCCATCACTGTAACTATCCCATATAGATACAATATCTCATCACTGTAACTATCCCATATAGATATAATATCCCATCACTGTAACTATCCCATATGGATATAATATCTCTATCAATGTAACTATCCCATATGGATATAATATCCCATCTCTGTAACTATCCCATATAGATATAATATCTCCATCACTGTAACTATCCCATATAGATATAATATCCCATCTCTGTAATTATCCCATACAGATATAATATCCCATCACTGTAACTATCCCATATGGATATAATATCTCTATCAATGTAACTATCCCATATAGATATAATATCCCATCACTGTAACTATTCCATATGGATATAATATCTCTAGCAATGTAACTATCCCATATAGATATAATATCTCCATCACTGTAACTATCCCATATAGATATAATATCCAATCTCTGTAATTATCCCATATAGATATAATATCCCATCACTGTAACTATCCCATATGGATATAATATCTCTATCAATGTAACTATCCCATATAGATATAATATCTCCATCACTGTAACTATCCCATATAGATATAATATCCCATCTCTGTAATTATCCCATATAGATATAATATCCCATCACTGTAACTATCCCGATATATGGATATAATATCCACTGCAAATGTCCATGATATGTAACATTCTCTTACCAATGTGAATTCATCCCAGTTAAGTGTGATATAATATCCCATCTCTGTAACTATCCTCATAGATACATCACTGTAACTATCCAAGTGCTAGATACACATCCCATCACTGTAACTATCCCACATAAGATTCTATCAAATGCAATCATCCCATATGGATATACCGTCCACCCCAACCCATATAGATATAATATCTCCATCACTGTAACTATCCCATATAGATATAATATCCCATCTCTGTAATTATCCCATACAGATATAATATCCCATCACTGTAACTATCCCATATGGATATAATATCTCTATCAATGTAACTATCCCATATAGATATAATATCCCATCACTGTAACTATTCCATATGGATATAATATCTCTATCAATGTAATCCCATATAGATATAATATCCCATCTCTGTAATTATCCAATATAGATATAATATCCCATCACTGTAACTATCCCATATAGATATAATATCCCATCTCTGTAATTATCCCATATAGATATAATATCCCATCACTGTAACTATCCCATATAGATATAATATCCCATCTCTGTAATTATCCCATATAGATATAATATCCCATCCCTGTAACTATCCCATATAGATATAATATATCCATCACTGTAACTATCCCATATAGATATAATATCCCATCTCTGTAATTATCCCATATAGATATAATATCCCATCCCTGTAACTATCCCATATAGAAATAATATCTCCATCAATGTAACTATCCCATATGGATATAATATCCCATCAATGTAACTATCCCATATAGATATAATATCCCATCTCTGTAATTATCCCATATAGATATAATATCCCATCACTGTAACTATCCCATATGGATATAATATCTCTATCAATGTAACTATCCCATATGGATATAATATCCCATCTCTGTAATTATCCCATATAGATATATCCCATCACTGTAACTATCCCATATAGATATAATATCTCCATCACTGTAACTATCCCATATAGATATAATATCCCATCACTGTAACTATTCCATATGGATATAATATCTCTATCAATGTAACTATCCCATATAGATATAATATCCCATCTCTGTAATTATCCCATATAGATATAATATCCCATCACTGTAACTATCCCATATAGATATAATATCCCATCACTGTAACTATCCCATATGGATATAATATCTCTATCAATGTAACTATCCCATATAGATATAATATCTCCATCAATGTAACTATCCCATATGGATATAATATCCCATCAATGTAACTATCCCATATAGATATAATATCCCATCCCTGTAACTATCCCATATAGATATAATATATCCATCACTGTAACTATCCCATATAGATATAATATCCCATCTCTGTAATTATCCGATATAGATATAATATCCCATCTCTGTAACTATCCCATATGGATATAATATCTCCATCACTGTAACTATCCCATATAGATGTAATATCCCATCTCTGTAATTATCCCATATAGATATAATATCTCCATCACTGTAACTATCCCATATGGATATAATATCTCCATCTCTGTAACTATCCCATATAGATATAATATCCCATCTCTGTAACTATCCCATATAGATATAATATCCCATCACTGTAACTATCCCATATGGATATAATATCTCTATCAATGTAACTATCCCATATAGATATAATATCCCATCTCTGTAACTATCCCATATGGATATAATATCTCCATCACTGTAACTATCCCATATAGATATAATATCCCATCTCTGTAATTATCCCATATAGATATAATATCTCCATCACTGTAACTATCCCATATGGATATAATATCTCCATCTCTGTAACTATCCCATATAGATATAATATCCCATCACTGTAACTATCCCATATGGATATAATATCTCTATCAATGTAACTATCCCATATAGATATAATATCCCATCTCTGTAACTATCCCATATAGATATAATATCCCATCTCTGTAACTATCCCGTATAGATATAATATCTCCATCTCTGTAACTATCCCATGTAGATATAATATCCCATCTCTGTAACTATCCCATATAGATATATCTCCATCACTGTAACTATCCCATATGGATATAATATCTCCATCACTGTAACTATCCCATATGGATATAATATCTCCATCTCTGTAACTATCCCATATAGATATAATATCCCATCTCTGTAACTATCCCATATGGATATAATATCTCCATCACTGTAACTATCCCATATAGATATAATATCTAATACTACTACTACTACTAATAATAATAAACACTCTCATGGCACAGTCCTGAGATATCCAAGAAGAGGCATAATAATAATACTGATTAATAATAATAATAATAATAATACTGATAATACTGATTATATTAATAATAATAATAATGATAATAATAATACTGATTAATAATAATACTGATTACAATAATAATAATAATACTGATAATATTAATAATAATAATGTTATAAATCGTGCAGTGACAGTTATCGCAGTCCTGTATAGACTGTGATAGGAATTTACTAATAATTCACCCATTGGTATCACAGCTATCACTGCTCTCTGCAGCCCATGAGGGATTTAAAGGGCTCCCTGGGGACCCCACCACCACCTCCCCGGGGGGAGCCAGGATCACACAGACCCCCACCATGCTCTGAGAACTTACCGCCACGCAGTTTGCCCGTCTCACCAGCCATGTTCGGTCTCCATTCTGTCCTATGGGGAGTCTGGTTTGGCTCCACGCAGCGTGGGTTTCTGTTTGTCCTGAGCCCGTCCCCCCCTCCCAGAGCCGCTGCAATTGGTACGCTCCAAACACTCGGTCCCCCTCTCCCGGAAGTTGACAGCTTCGCTTAGCAACGCCAGCAGCAGCGCTTAGCAACGCAAACATGTCTGCGCCCAGCAGGTGAGGATCCCCATATTTCGCCTATAATGTGTTGTAATTAGTGAATTAAGCGGATATACCCGCACAGCTGCCCCCAGGACCCCTGTGTGTGTCTGTATGATGTCATTTATCAGTGACCCTTTAAATGCCCAATTATTCTCTGCCTGCTCTAACCATGATGTTATTTATAATTTATTGGGGGGCGGGGGGGATTGTAGGATTATTAATTTATTTATTTATTTATCTGCCACAGGACTTTAGTAAATTAATGGGCGGTGCGAGGGGTCACGGGATGTCACCGTTGTCACATGGTTCATGGATGACAAATTTAGTATTTTTTTATTGGTATGCTCGGAACATCGGGTTAACGGCAAAAAATAAATAAATTAATAACTATTTAATATCTATGTATGTGTTAGGTGGCGTGCGCAGAGTAAAGATGGAATATTAGGTTCCACAACAATTAACATTACTTTGTTATTGCAAAATGCAAACAGTCACCTTTAGATGTTTGTACCACGATGTCAAATGCTTACAAAAACAACAAAAACAACAAAAAAAAACAAAGCAGTGCAGGCCCCACAATCACAACACAGCACTATAGTGGTAATGGCTCTAGGAGTCCCTTGGTGTCGTAATGAAAGTCACCTTCAAACTGTTTGACATTTACCTTGGTCTCCATGGGACCCTCGGTTTCAGCCTTCGCTCCTCGTATCGTTAATGCAGAAGTCTCCCTTCTGCATTAACTTGATCAATTTTAATGCTCAATTATAGGTGGACCTGACATCACTAATGCAGAAGTAGGAACTTCTGTATTAGTAATCTCAGAAGAGGCACCCCGGAGACAAAGCTAAGTGTGAAATCATTTGACTACCTACCAAGGCTTGGCACCAATGGCCATCTGTCACCATAACCACTAAGTGTGCTATAGTGGTCATGGTGCCTAGACTGACTGATCTTATACTTGTCAATAATCCACAATGCCACCACAGCAGCACTCACGAGCCGTTCCTATTATATATTATGGAAGTAGCACCATACATGCACTTTCCTGTTTCTGTTAATGGGAGATCAGTGATGAACTGAGATATGTTAGCCAGTTCCAGGTTGCCATAAATGCCAGGGGAGAGCCTGGGATATGCTTTAGGAAAAGTACAAAGATGACAAGCTAAACCTATTGTATAACCTGTATTCAGTCCTAGACCTGAAGAGGAACGAGGGGAGTTTCCACCATCTGAGAACGAGGTAAGAGGAACCGATTTTTGCCAGTAGAGCTGTAGACGTTTGTACGGATTAATATCTTTTAGTAAAATGACTGTTGACCTGTTACAAAGCATTGTTTTCACATACTGAAATCCAAATACTACGGAGTGTATATGCTAAACAGGGCTGGTGGTAAACCATC